CCCCGATGATGATGTCTCACTTTTGATATTTTCTTTTGCTTATTTTCCTTGCAGACATGCTTTTTCAGCTGAGGGTGAGTGTTGGCTTTAACAATGAGATGATATTTATTTTATGCTTGTCTTTTTGAATAAAAGTTTATTATAAATTTATGAGCATAGTTAGAAATGCTCATATATGAGTGAATGCATGTCTGTCATTTAATTTGTATGCCCATAGTTCGAGAATTCTTTTTGGTGGAAAATGAAACCAGCAGTGATTACTGGGATAATGTGACCTTTTGTATTTTGATTGACTTTGATTATAAAATGTAAACATTTGGTTTAAAAAACAGAAAGGAAATAGTTTTGCAAAAGATTTGAATTTGACTAAATCTTGTTATTATTTTAGTGTATTTTCAGTTCTGTCATTTCTTGTATTCGTATTTTTCTTATTTTGTTTCTCAGTTCACAACAAAACAGTTGGAAAGACTTTCAAGGAAAGCAGAAAAGGACCAAAAAGTCCAGCAGGCAAAAGTAAAGAAGGTATGTGGAATGCAGTTAAAATTGTCTGAGACGACCACCCACGGTTTAGGAGAAATATGGTTGTCTCTGACAGGTGGATGTCTTGCATTGTCATTGTAATTTCTTTTTTCTTTTTTTATTTGCTAGGGAAAAAATGGGAAGTAGCTGTTTGTACAGGTGGTTGTCTTATAGAGGTGGCCATTGGTTCCACTGTACTTTGAATCTTCTTTCTTCAAGTTGTGTACAGCATTGGCTGATTTTTTTTCTTTGACCCAAGGCTCCTCCATGGAGTTGTTTGAATGCAACTCTATATTCCCTGCAATGTTGCTTTCTCGTGCTGGTATCTATTGTAATTTTACCTATTTAGTTAACAGAAATTGAGAAGGAAATAGTCTACAGTTACAGTACACGTACAAGTGTGTTGACATAAGATTTTTCTTGTTATATGTGAAATATACAATGGAAATTTTAAATTCAGCCATGGGACTTACTTCTTGTGAGAAAAGTCTATGGCCTGTCGGTACCTCTGAGTAAATTCTGTTGGTAAAATTTTCATTGTGCAGTACTTGAAATTCAACAATATTTATTGCCAAGGTATTACTTCTCATTGCTATGAAACCAAAAGCACAATTGTATGGGTCTGTAAAAAGGATAGAAGATTTCACAGTATAGAATGAGAGAGAGATCTAAATTTCAGCTCAACATTTCATGGTAAAGGTTGAAGGAACGGTAAACTCTGAATGGTTACTCAAGAGACAAGACTTCCAAATTTCACGTCCGTCTCTAACGAGGGCTGTGAAAACTCCCCGGACAGTCCATGCTTAAGGATGCCCTGTCTGGTATTTGAACCTAGGTCACCTGCACTATAGTCTAACATGGTGCTAACTAAGATGTAGGCAGGCCTTCTCGGGGACGGTGAAGAGCACAAAAAATTATTTTCAGAAATCTACCATTCATTAGCCTCTCTTCTATTAGTAACGAAGGGAATATTTCCATGAGATAAGAAGAAACTTTCTGTGTTTTTCGTTATGAAGTCTGGTTTTTTGGTATTATGTCATGTCTGTGTGAAAAATATAGTATATAATATTTTTGTTTTTCTTGACTTGTAGGCCTTGCAACAAAAGAATGTGGAAGGTGCCCAGATATATGCTGAAAATGCGATTCGTAAAAAGAATGAATCGCTCAACTATCTCCGCTTTGCTGCCCGAGTCGATGCTGTTTCTTCCAAAGTTCAGACGGGTCTTGCAATGAAAAATGTGAGTTCTCTTTGTTTGTGTCTATTTTTGCTTTTCATAAGAGAGAAGCTTAGTTTTCTCTAAGTGAAATTTATTGCAAATATCTTTTTTAACAGAAAAAAGAATGAAACTCGGGAATCTGAAGTTATATACATATTTTAGTAAACAGGCTGATGTAAGTAGTTCCTAAACCACTGTTTATTTTGTTGCTTGTTGCTACTTCAGCGACATGTGTGTTTTTGGCCTTTGGTATAGTGTCGTATGGTTACTTTAGTGACTCGCATAGTGTTTTCCTGTGCTCCAGTGTTTTATGATTACTTTAGTGACAAGCATGCTGTTGGCTTGTGATCTAGTGTTGTATAATGATTATTTCAGTGACATGAGTTATTGGTCTGTGCCCCAATACCTCATGATTACCTGTTACTGTTGGTCTGTGCTCCAGTGTTGTGTGATTACTTCTGTGACATGCGTAGTGTTGGCTTGTGCTCTAGTGCCATGTGCTGCTGTGTATTCTTTCACTAAATAATGTAAGTCCGTAACAGAATGACTCATGTCAGAATTATCTCTATTAACTTTTCTGTCCACCAAAGAAGATCCTCTCTGCATAATTCACACGAAAATGTTGTGGGAGAAGGGGTGGGTTTTTTTTAAAGCTTAAGCTAAGCTGGTACAATTCGGGTTTTGAGAGTTTTTGAAATGTTTATCCTTGGTTATGAAATGTACGGCATTTGTCTTTCTTCTATGTCAAATATTTTGTAGGCTGGCAATACTTCTTGATTTATTGTAAGAATATTGTTGTTGATGTCTTTTTTTTTTCCTCCTGTATTTTAGGCTTTGGAGGACACTAATTGTTTTTAAGAAGGAAATCCTTTCAATTTTCAGATAACCAAAGATATTTCTGGAGTCTGCAAGGCTTTGGACAAGGCAATGGCGTCCATGGATCTACCTAAGGTTGGTAACCGTGTGAAAAATGTCAGGGTCCTCAAAGGACGTTTAGTTTGACATGCATCAACACCTTCAAGTCACAATTAGTAAGACAAATATCATTAAAGTGACATTTAGTTTGACAAATATCAATATCTTAAGTGACTTTTGTTTTAGAAATATCAGTGTCTCAATTGACATTTATTTAGACAAATATCAATGTCCTCAAAGTTGCTGAGGGTTCAGAAAATTATGTGTTTCGATTTTTTATTCTAAAGAGACAATTTGCTTTTCTTAGTACTTGGTGAAGATATTTTTTTATCTGTCATTTAATTTTAATTAAAATCCAATTATTGTTTTCACTATTGCTCAAGTCAAGGGATGATTCTAACAATTGTTGTATGACCATAATGATTTACCGACATTTTTACACATGATATGTGAATTTTGTCATTTCAGGTGGAGCAGGTGATGGAGAAGTTTGAGAAGCAGTTTGAAGACCTTGATGTTAGAACTTCGGTGAGTATTTCAGTTTTACCATGTGGTGTGTAAGTGCTCTCGTCAGAGCTGTTAAAGTACTTTTAAAAAGGTGCTTAAGTACAAATTTAAGTACAATCTAAAATATGTACTTAAGTACAGTAAAAGTAGTTTCCTGTAAAATGTACTTGAGTTCAAGTACTTTTAAAAAATTTACTTATGAGTACTTTTTGAGTACTTTCTGCTAATATGCTAAAACACTTCAGTGCTAATGCAAAACATCATATTGAATAACATATCCAGTATCTTTGACAAATTAGGCTATTTATTACTAAAAATGTAAACAGTATTCAAAGCGTTTGAATATACGCACTGAACGTAGGTGGTAAATGGTCCGTGAAATTGAAAATCAAAACAAACACACAAACAGACACAACTAGTGAGTAAGTGATATTATAAATAAAACTTGTTTGAGCAAGACAATGTGATCAAATGTAAGTCAGTCCAAGAGGTCGGAAAGTAGGAAAAGTATCCAAATTAGAAAATGTAGAGACAGAGTTGCTCTTAAGAAAACTTAGAATTGATGAAAATGGCCTGCAAAGAAATGGAAAAGTGCCTTGAATTCTTCATTAACCAATCCTCAAGGAATCAAGGTAGCCTTATGCACAAACCACAAAAAAAGTTCAAAAGAAATTTAGATAGCCTAAAAAATTGTTAGATATACATTGAGAACTCAGTTTCAGTTTCAATTGATTATAATAATGGTAAGACAGATTTTGGTCACACTGTGCAGTCCACGGCGCCCACGGCAAACCAAAATACATTTAGTTTCCTAGAGTCTAGTAAGTGTAGTGTAACCAAAGATTCTCTAATACAGTAGTCTCCGCCTAAGATCCCAGTGCTCGAGAGCAAGGGAAATACGGGATCTTAGCTGATAAAGCCAAGGAAGAATCTACAGTGACCCATGAACTGACATGACCCGTGGGTGGGTTTATGACATTTGATGAGCAAAGAGTGGTCAACCTTGATGACCGATGACAGTTGCATAGTGGCATGAGGCATGCCATATTTTTATATACACTCATCAGCCTATCGTGAGTCTCGAGATCTTTATGTACGTTTATCCAGTTGCCCTTCCCCTTTACCTGTCCAAAAATCTTACCTTCCATCTCTGATTGAGTCCCATCGTCTTTGTCATTATGCACCTTTACGTTGTGACCACACCTAGACGGTCAGAGTATAAGAACGGTTAGTATAAGAACGTATAGGAACACACCAATTACAATTCAGGGGAAGAGTTCACAAATCAATGTGATACTGCTTGGGCGAACTTGTAGGCCTTACCCACCCAGCGAGTGATGCAAGTTTAGGTGGCGAGCTCAGATGCGAGTGCGATGGTTGGGGAAAAGAAACGCACCGGTCAGTTCACACCTCGGTGTGATCCCGTCTGGGGCAAACATTGTACCGTTTCATGGAGTTTTACGACGCTTGTGATCATATTCACAAAAGTGGCTGATCTTTGACGCGACGGGCCGTTCTTTGATCTCAGGTTTTAACTCTGATCGGCTGTGCCCGCCCGCGTGTTTGTTCCATAAATTATTATCAGAAATGCCGGCACTTACCCTTTCATTAAGCTTCAAAAGTACTCAAAATGTACTTTAAAAATACTCAAAAGTACTTTTATAAAAAGTATCGGAGTAGAGTAAAAGTACAGATTCTCAAAATGTACCAGAGTACTGTAAAAGTACCGTAAATTGTAAAGTAAGTACAAGTACCGGAGTACTTGTACTCCGTTACAACCAGCTCTGGCTCTCGTGTGGTTTGTTCTTTCTTGTTTTTTTCAGCATTACTACTATTCTGCTCTGTTCCCTTCAGAGTTTTGTTGTAGGAGTCTGCGTATGTTCTATCATCTGCTTTCATCTCCACTCCCCCCCCCCCCCTCCTACCCCTAGGCTCCTGACTCCTACTGCTATTTCTCGCTCATTCTTACTGAAGTCTTTCAGCCACACCCCTGATCTTAGGGAAGGTAAGATTTAACACCTCGCTTTCTCGGATATGGGAAAAAAATTATAGGGGTCCCGTGTGCAAGTCATGCAAGATCCCTTGGTGGTCCTAAAATTGCTTAAAGTAGGCTTCGAGGGCCACTTGGACAAAATTAAAAATTAATTCCTACCAATCTGAAAATGCTTAATGTGTCCCGCACTCTCATAATGACCTTATGCAGTTGCAAGCGCCGTAAAGCTCATTTGCAAGCACCGTAAAGCTCATTTGTTGGCGGGTACTCTGGAGTGGTTTGCTCCTTCTTTCCTATCAAACATCTATCATCCTGATCTCTCCTCCTTCTGTTTTATGTTTGTTACTCTCTTGTAACACCTCTAATCTTTGGCACTTGTATGACCTTATTGTGTTGTAAGTGCCGTAAAACGCTTACTAAAACTAAAAAGCTCATTTCTCTTTGTTCACAGACCCTAGAGAACTCTATGGGGGCGGCCATGACTCTGTCTACGCCCCAAGACCAGGTTGAGTCGCTGATCCAGCAGGTCGCCGAGGAGAACGGTCTTGAGGTCATTGACCAGCTCAAGGACTTACAGGCTCCGTCCGCGTCGGTGCGGTCAGCTACGGCAGACTCGGCCCAGGCCAGCAAGGAGGATGACCTCTCCAGAAGGTAATGATAACAGATAACAACATATTGTATCGCGCAAAGTCCCGCTCAACAACTAGCTCTGTCGCTTGACAATCTATATTATGCCCCTGCAGACCTGATAGCATTCTGAAACAATCTCCATAGGCACTAAAACACTAACATACTGACAAGGTAGAGAAGTTATTGTTTTCTTTTTTGTATGTTTAGGCCTATGGGGTGGGAGGGGGTTAGATGATATACTGCCATTTTTTTCAGTGTTGAGTTCCCAGAGGGGGGTGGGGGTCCAGACGTTGTACTGCACTTTCTTGTAAATGGAGTTTGCGAGGAGTGAGGGGGGGGGGGGGTGGGGTCTGTCCCAGACAAGTATAAGCCCTGAGTGCTTTACATCAGTGACATGATTACTGGGAGTAAAACCTCACACACTCAAGAAAAAAAAAGTTTGATATGCACAACAAAACCAGTTCAACCACATAAGGAAGAACTTTCTCAAGCATTCATTAATTACGTACCCACAATGACAGCAGTGAAAACAAGACACATCAGCTCCTGCTAACTAACTCCTATTAAGACTTAAACAAATGAGTCTTAAGCTATCATTTAAACGTGATATAGTTGACTCTGCTTTTTTTAATTTGCTTGAGTTGATCTTTGGTTAAGCTGATCCTTTTCCCGGGTCCCAGCATCTTTTCTTCTTTACAGATCCCAACGGTTAAATTGAATATGGATGAGGTAAATTTATTTTTTTTACTCCCCCAAAGACATCAACTCATCCATAGTTGGTGTGGGTGGAGGCTTAAAACTTATACATTTGATATATTTGACCATCAAATTGATCTCATGTGTAATATTTTTGTTGCTGTGAATTTTCATTTCAGATTACAAGCCCTGAGAAACTGAATGTTGTTCATCTACCTTCCTGTACATACGATTGGGTAATGATGCGGCACGTTCACCTTCTACCTTCTTGTACATACAGTCAAATAGAGACACTGCTACGGATGTCTGATGTACACACTGATACAGCATTTGAGTTGTGTACATACTACGACCGCAGCTGACATCATCGTGTCTGTTTGATGACAGTTTGTGGGTACAACTTGTTCCTGTTTATTTTTTCATCATAGCTATTGAACTGACTGTTGGTTTGCAAATGTAACTAAACCATTAATGCTGCTCTGCTGTAAATACCCAGGAAAGAACAATGAGTAGCAACATGACAAAATGAATCACTGATTGTAAAATATGAGGCAAAACCTTGATTATCTCAGAACTGCGTGTTTATGACTCCCCTACTTCAAGTGGTGACTTTAAGTTTTGAACCGAAGCAGTCAGATTTGTTTTCACCCAATTGTATTGTTTCATCAGCTCTTTGATGTGATACTCTTAATGACATAGTCTTAATGTAGTATGTCACTCATTTTGCCATGTTGCTACACACATTTCATTTTAGTAGTGCATGTCTTAGTGGAAGGGGAAAGAGGGCATGGAGAGAGGGGGTGAGCGAGATGCCACAGATGATTACAAATGTGTGCAGGGCTTCTCCATGGTGGATTGGCCCTGCTGTGAAGCCACTAGTGGAAATCAAAAAGACATAGAGACAGGTCTTTGTGGACAAATTTGCCACACTGCTACTGGTCATTGTGTGTTTTTATCTTCTTTGCTCATCAGGTTGTTTGGGAATTTTAAAATAATTTTTTTCCTTTGCTAAAAATCACAGTGTTTTAGTGAGCATTATGTGTCAGAATTGTGTTGGATTGAGAACGATGTTGTGGGGGGAGGGGGTTGTAACAATTTAAAGAAATTTTTTGTCAATTTATAAATTTCTGATCACCATGTTTCCCCCAATGAGAAGAAGTGTGTTACTTGTGTCCCAGTGTTTGCAAGTAGATTATATATGTATTTTATTAAAGATTCTACAGCCTCAGCTTGTGTCTGTTTTGAAAAGTGCAATGTCTTTATTTAATAGATAATGAATATGGCTAAAACATCTCTTAAACATAGACAGTTTGTACCTCTATAAATAACTGAGACGTGAAAGATTTTATGAAAGTTTGTTGGCATATATTGATATTCTCTGCTGTATTCTCTTCTTCTCGTTCATCTCCAAATGGACGTCCCAGTCTCCAGTGCAAAGGATGCTTTTTGCCACAGGTCCTCTCGTAGAGTTTTGGGTCTCCCTGCGCAGGGTAGGGCCAATATTTCCTTCTAAGTGCCTCTAGCATTGGGCAGGCTTGTAGCAGATGGTTTCCTGTTTGGCTGATGGTTCCGCTCTGACCACTGCTCTGAGTTGCTCTGCCACAGCCCTCATAGGTTTTCTCAGGTGCTAAGCCCAGTGCTGTAGGTTTATCTACTACTGCTAGGTTACAGTGCTGTACGCATAAGCAGCTACAGTGTGGTCAAAAATTTGTTACACAACTTATTGTCAAATATCTCCTTAACCATTGAACATAAATACCAATTTAAAAATCCTAGTCGGTGGTTTCTACTGATTTAAAAAAGTTTACAGCTGGGGCAATATCGACTTTAAAGGCAAGTCTGTCATTTTTTGTAATCGCAACATCTAATCGAGCACATGTTTAGAAAGCCTTTAGTGCAAAAAATGTGTTTAGTATGAAATCAATTTCTTGTAACAAGTTTTGCCACTAAAAGGTATCATTGGTGAGCTGTGACGTAGGCTATATATGCGTATATAAATTGTGTGAGAAGCAGGAAGTGCTGTGAACAACCCCATTTTCCTGATGATGGAGATTTGTAATACTTGATATGAATTAATGAAGTTTACGTTTTTTTAATCTAGCCTCAATTATTGTAGAAAAATGTGATTTAATTAAGACCATTTGATACAAACTGCTGTGCTAAGTTTGGGTGGCATTGATTCATCCATTAAAGAGATATTTGAGGATAAGTTGCGCCACAAATTTTTGACCGCACTATACTACTATGTCACAGTGCTGTAGGTTTGGCTATTACTGCTATGTCACAGTGCTGTAGGATTCGCTATTACTATTGTCATAATTCTATAGGGTTCTCTTTGACTGCAATGTTATAGTGATGTAGGATTAGTTACTCCTGCTATGTTACAGTACTATAAGTTTAGTTACTATGTCACAATCTGCTCTGAAATTGGGATTCCTGACTCACTTCCTTTAGATTCAGGATTTGTAGTGGTGTGCATATTTATGTATGGCTCTGTGAGGTATACTGGTTTTGTTTCCAACTGCAGCAAGCGAATAAATTAGCTTTTGTAATTAATTATCAAGGTTGTTATAAGTGATCATTTTTTGTTGATTTTTTAAACATGTTTTTTTGTATATATTCATGTAAAGTTGTTCCAAGTCATCTTTGTTCTTTTTGGTGAAATGTCTGTGTTACCTTTTGTCTTGTCAATGATGTTATGCCTTAGTCATTGCGCCAAATTGATGGTGAATGTTTTGTTGCGTCTCCTTGAATGGCAACAAAGTTGTGGTGAAAGTGTTGTCACAGGGGAAAATCTTCAAAAGTTTTACTGCAGAATATGTTCAAAGCTTTATCAGTGAAAATTTTAAGAGAAGTAGATAGTTCACCAGTGTAAATAGGAGCGTCACATGCTGATTGCGACATAGATCTATACAGTCGGAATTGTCCAAGATGGCCACCCATTATCAATGGAGAAAAGTAGGCAGTTTCATTATATTATAGAAAAAGCACAAGGGAAAAATGGGAAGTGGTTGTTTATACAGGAGAGTATCTTGGACAGGCGGCTTTTAGAGCAGGTTCGACTGCACTTCCATTGTTTTTTGTTCTGGTTAGCCTTTACTTCACGCTGTTAATTATTCTGATACTTGTAGACATTGAGTGAAAGAGCCTCAATATCAAATGCTCAGCACATTTCTATCAAGAAATGGTGAATTGTTTTGATGTTGAACTCGACTGTGTCATTAGTGCCACCCTCTTGGCATGCTGAGCTGCTTTTATGATGCGCACACTGCTTTGTTACTAAATTCTTTTCACCGCAGGTGGTTGGAGAGTGGCAGTGGTAAATCCTCTTTCTTTTCTGTTCATCTGTTGTTTCTCAGCATAATGAAGTCCTTGTTTGTGTAAATTTCTTAACAAAACTTGGACTAGGACTGAAAGTTTTCAAGCCAGAGTTGTTTAGAAAACTTTTTATCTATAGTATATGTATGACTGAGTCGCTCTCACTGGCTTCTGTGGTTAATGCTCAGGCTCTTCTTTGTCCCTCGCAAATGATGCAAGTTCGATTCCAGCATTTGGAAGTTACGATATGAAGTATGATCTCCATACCTGTCTGCTGAAATGGAGCGTCCCATTTAATTCGGGTTTTCCCTGACAGGCAGGGTCAAAGCAGCCTGCCTCCTATATTATCTATTGTTTTTATGGAGGTTTGAAACAGTTGTAATCTAATAGTTGAAAAAAGGCCCACTCTATCGGGAGCTGGAATGTTTGTCTTGTCCCAAAATGTGTGAATCTACTACTAGTCTGGCTTAAGGTGTTGGGTTCAAACACAAGAGTAGAATCTGTGGTGTTGTGGTTAGGTGCTTCACCATTACATACAAAAGAAGTGAGTTCAATACATGTTGTGGAGAATTTTTATCAAGTATCTCCGTCTTTCTGCCATGTACTGTGACTTGACTCTTTCACCTCATCCCAGGGTGGCCCTGACAGACAGGATTGAAGCAACCCGCTTCCTAAATGAGTTCAATAGTGTTGTTTGGGCATAAGACTTCTAATTACATAAGATTTCGAACACGCGAGTCTACTTGTCTAGCTTGAGGGTTTGGGTTCAAATATTTTTCTCTTTTCGTGCGTCTTCATCATTTGTCCAACTGTTTTCTTATCTGCGAGACTTCCTTTTATCTTTCATTTTGTTTCCATACGTTTTTGATACTGTGTAACAATATTGTGTTTATTGGACATTGTTCCTGTACTAATAAACTACTACAAGTACAAGTAAAGTTCACCCCATCGTTGTCAGCTTTACTGTCATACTTGCTACCTGTGAATTACAAAGTTCTGTCTGATATTTTTGACCATTTTGAGTTATTAAGTACTAAGACTGTGAAGTCAGAAACCAAATGGTCTATCTGCTCTTCAAAATCGTAAGATTATTCAGAGTCATTATTAAGAGTTTCAAGGAGCTGCATTCGAAAAAGCTTGACATGTTGTGAAACTCAAAATTTTTAACATCAAATTTCTCAAAACTACTTACTGAGCAGATAAAACTTTGTAATTCAAGGTTAGCATACTGTCAAGTTACTCGTTTATATCAACTCTGATACAAGGGAGTTTATCTTGTGTAGATCGGAGATTAATCATTGTGTACACAAGACATTGTAACCTAAAACAACATAGGGATTTGCTACAGGTATAAAAGGCATGGTACTTTAGTAAATTAGTCCTATCGCCAATGCCTAAGTGACTGTTGACAAAGGACCTGTATAACCAGCGTCTGTGATGGAGTGTAGCGGTTGAGCGCTTCACTGTTGCACGCAGGAGACAAGTTTGATCCAGGAGTGGGGAGAAATTGTGATTGAGAGTCTCAGTCTTTCTGTGGGATGCTGTATTTCCTTGACCTGGTTTGGCCTGAACAAGCTAGGTGGGAAGCCCAACTCCTAAATTATATGAATTGTGTCGACGGGGTAGTAAAAACAACTACCGGTACACTAAAAATACAACCAATAAACAACCAGTATACTAATCTCCTGCACAGAGCCCCCACCCCTTGGACTAGCGACAAGAATATTCACTTTTAACAATGATTTTTTTTAACAAAGCTGTCAGACTCTCTGAATCTACTCAATATTCTTTCAGACATTTTGTTTACAGAAGTAAACTTTTTCTTTGAGACTGGGGTCTGTGGTATAGCACTTCTGCACTTTGCTGTCCCACACAGGAGATGTGAGTTCGATTTCTATGTAGGGTGAATTTTTATCAAAAATCTCTGTCTTTCTCTTGAGACATTGTATCCCTATCAACCCGGGTTGGCCCCGAATGGCAGGGCTGAAGCAGCCCATCAACTAAATTATGTTAATGGGAGCATAAAACTTCTACAGTGGAACTTGGATTCAACGAGGTCGCTGGGCCTGTCCTAAAATCTCGTGAATCCGAGTGTTCGTTATAGCAAACATGAGGTTTTGTGTAGATAATTACAGGCACTGAGCAAGTAATGTATAAAGAGAAGTCACAAGTAGTACCTGAAATGCCTGCATACGATGAGCTGTGAAAAAAGACTGATTCATTCAAATGCACGCCTGTGTCATCTCGATTGTTTACCAAAAGTTGTGTTGCTGTGTAGAGCCTAGCATACGGCAACTTTTGATTCCATAGACCAGCGCTCAATTCGTTACGAAGATCTACGTCAAGACTAGCTTATCATTGTAATAATGATCAGTTGCCGAGGGGAAAAAAAAGACTGACACGTTTGTATCTGCAACGTTCAACACCCAGATCGCTAGTGCCCCTCCCGACCTGCACACACAGCCACACGTGTGCAGGCCGCCCATCCAACCCTGACATACACCAGAGTAGACCCGTGCGTGTGCCAACAACACATGTGTTGGTGTTAAAAAAGGCCACTGATTGGTTGCATGCAATCGGCTAAGTGAATAATGGTTCACGATCCAGGTGCAATGGATGGTTTCAAGGAATATATAAAGTTCGTTCTGGGAGGAAAATGAGCGGAGCCACATCTGTGCGGGCTGTTCACCCTGGAAGCGACCTCATTGAATCCGAGCTCGCTGATTTAAGTGCTCGTTGAATCCGGGTTATTATTATTTATTTTAAAGAAGAAAAAAACCCCGGGGAATCTATCTCATCTCGTTGAATCCGAATGCTCATTGAATCCGAGCTCGTTAAATCCGAGTTCCACTGTATTACCTTTTTGTAATTCCTTGATTTTTTGTCAAGCATATAATATACATATATGTGTCTGTAATTTAGAAATTAAATATAAAATTATTTCAATGGGTGGTATACATGTAGGCCCTACTTTTTCCCAGAAAGTCTAGTTGTCAGTGAAAGTCCTTACTAATATTTCAGCTGCAGGATAGCTGGTCAAGAAGATGGTAATTCACCTCTAAACTGCTGTGGAGATGTACACTTGCTTGTACAGTCGAACCTGCCATGATGGCCACCTCTATAAGGTGGCCACCTGTACAAATGGCCACTTTCCATTTCCCCCTTGCTTTTTTTCTGTATAATTTAACTATGTAAAACGGGCTCCAGTCCAACACGGCCGCGGCCCCCATATTTTAACACACAAACCCTATCACACCAAACAATAACACCTGTCTTAGACGGCCACTTTAGTGACTCCATTACGTTTTGTCATAAATCATGCATTGGCCCCTGGCGTTATGGATGAGCCATCATAATCCAATCACCTATCATCCCTCCAACCGATCATGTCGTGTAGGCCCCTCCCACTGTTGACCAATAGGTAACAAATTTTCAGCGGCTGTTGAGGTAAGCGTGTGTTCCCTCATAACCCATAAGCCCCGCCCAGAACTCATGCACAAATTACAAGTGAGATGAGTAGTCACTGTTTTCCAAGACTAAAACAAAGTAACAATGGGCATCAACATGAACTTGTGACAGAAGCGTCGCTCCTTCTCCGAGTGGCCATGTGTTTGTACAAAAGCAGCAACAAAATTTTTAAAAGAAAAAAAAAATCAACAACAACAATAACAACAATAACAATGCGGCTACCTTCGGTTGGGACCTCAGAAAGGAATTGTTTGTTTTCTTCATCTTGATCAGTCCAGCCTAAGACGGCCATCAGTGTTCCACGGCCACTTTTCTCTATGACAATGCGTGGCCGTCTTACACAAATCGGACTGTACATGTATTCTCCAAAAGTGAGTCTCTGCCCATTTGTCTACCGAACTGGTTTACTGGGAGAGTTCAAGTTTAAGGAGATGTAATTACAACTATGCAGTTTTGTTTCCTTGAATAAGGGAAAAGATACTAAGGCTTTGTTTTATTCTCTCTTGAATGAACTTTTTATTATGTCTGTACAAACGTTGATGGTTACGTCTCAGCAATGAAGAGGTTAAACTGGTGAACCTTTGAAATAAATACAGGGGACTTCTGCTCACAGCTATCCATGTCTTTCATTTTTGTTTTATTTTGCATCACAGTCCTTGTTTTTACAAAAGGAAAGGTATATATATGATTTAACAAAGGAAAAAAGAGATTCAGTAACTTGACATTTCAAGGTTTCAATTTGAATTTCAGAAAAAAATACACATTCAAAATAAAACTGGCAACCATTGTTAGTCATATATTGGCACAATTAAACTTAAACTTGTAAACAATTGTTGTGGGCAAAACGCAAGCAAATACTGATAATACTTAGTGACTGGCAAAAGCTTCAGAACCATCAGATATACAGGTGTTTACAAAACAGGAGCAGAGTTTCCTCAAATCACCTGTTCTGTACTTATCACAGCTAGGAAAGGACAAGTAAAGGACTAGTTATGTGTGGTAAAAAACTGTCGTTATCAGACACCTTTGAACAAAAGAAAATCTATGATTGCCATAAATACAGTTCATATAGACAAACATCAGTCTTGGGATTTCTTGACACTAGACTGACAAATATGATTGTGGCCCGCTCTGTTTTGTTTTCTATAGTCATCTATCTCTAGGGTTTGTTTTATGAAAAACATTACACAATGTTTCCAACTGTCCCAGGATCAGCAGTAGAGAACTTGAGAGCCTTACTACATAAACTACAACCAAAACCAGTCCCAGTTGATTTTATTTTGTTTGTTGTTTCATAATCTAATGTTATAACGCTGGGTGTCACTGACTGGGGTTTGAAAAAGCTGGCAAGCCTGACAATGGCTTTTTTTTTGCCTTGAGACTGGAATCGAATTGATGGTAAAATACAAATGGCAGGTTAGCAACTTTGTTACTGACTACTCCTATTACTGATGGGGAAAGATGAAATAGTAAACTTCTTTTTCTTTTCTTTTCCTCCAAACTTAGACAACTTCTACTTGGCAGGCTGGTTTCAACATGATGAGGCATACATTAGAAGCAAACTGACACTGTCACAGACAGTCTCTGGTGTGGCAGCCCACGTCTCAAATGGCGATGCGACCCTCCTCCAGGTTTTGGAATCCGGTGGGTGCGGGGGCGCCACTGTGGTTGCCGAGGGGGGGAGCACCGCCAGGGTAGTCGCTGGTGGTGCTGGTCTGGGCTGGGAAGCCAGTGGTGCCAGGGTAACAGCGTACATCCGCGTATGGCGTGTCGGGGGGGTAGGCGTACGACGGGTGCCCGGTGTACAGAGATGGGATTCTGCCGGGCTCAGCTGTGGGCAGAACCGAGATCTTGCCATGACCCTGTGGACAAACAGACAACTTTCCAGTGCCAATTCTGAGACTTTCAGGGATAATTTTTAAATTTCTTTAATTTTTCTTCTTTTTTTTTGCTGTCCCTACCCATTCTTATCAAATGATGCTTTTGTGTTAAGAAGAAGATGGACAATTTTTGCTGCCAATCCTGAAAACTGAGCCCATCTGGTCTCTTTTGGAAAAAAGTTTTAGAAAGAGTTTTACAGTATTTGCAAAATAAATAAAAGGTCATATGACTATGAGTGCCGAAAATTAGTAGAGGTGTTACTAGAAAGTAACATACAAAGAAAAGAAGGAAGAGAGATAAGGACAATAGATTATGTTTAAAAGGAAAGAAGCAGCAAACCACACCAGAGCCTCCGCCATCCAGCCATAAAGCAGAAATGAAATCAATACGACGGCAAAAAACAAAACTGACCGGAGCGCCCTCTGTCTGTGTGACGATGTCTCCGTACAGGTTGGTGAGCATGGGCCGGGCCTGGGAGTAGAGGGCACCCAGAGAGGCATAGCCCTGGTGACCTCCTGCCGGGATGTGATCTGCTACGTTGGACTGTACCTGGGGATTGGCCAGGGGGGTGGGGGGCAATGAATATAAATCAGTTACAAAGCGAGTACAGAGGGGATGTCCCTGGTAATACATACACTCATACAGACACACCCACACACAAACATTTACAGTTTACACACACACGCATCACTCATACCTATTCATACATTCACAAAAATACATACATATATGTATATATATATATACATACACACACATACACACACATACATATATACACACATATACACATACATCAACACATACACAAGCATCTGATGGTGTTGTCGTAAAGTTTGCCAATAGAAATTTTCTCACACAAAGAGCTTATAAACTTCCACTCAAGGATCAAGGACTTGGCATCAGGTTACAATGACAAAATTATTCTCAAAACAAAAACAATTCATAAGATTCAGAGTTGCTGATTTACATCACAAATATGTAGAGAATTAAATCATCGGAAACAAGTTCTCTAAAATTCAAACAGTACATAGGGGGCTCTCGTGGCCAAGAGGCTACGGTGTTCGCCTCTCATTCAAAGGTCCCGGGTTCGAATCCGGGAGGCAACAGAAAAATTATCTTCTCTAAATTTGTCTCCTTTCACCTCCTTTCCTGCTCTCTAGCAAAGTTCCGTCGTCTCCACTTTCTGCCCCACCCTGCTTTGCCCCCTCCTCTGGGCTCCTGACTTTTCGCATGTTAAAGATCCCTTGGTGGTCTAATATCGATAAGAGTAGGCTTCGGCTGCCACCCTGGCAAAATTCAAAATTTCCTACCATCTGAAAATGTTTGATGTATCCCGCCCGCTCATATGACCTTATGAAGTTGCCAGCGCTGTAAAACACTGACCAAAATAAAATAATAAAAAAATAAATTTAAAAAACCCAGTAAATCTACATATTTTCACCCCTTGTCTTTGGTTATAATGAGTATATTTTCTCAAGCGTTTATTTGACAAGTAAATGTGAATACTGAAGCTTTCAGTTCCATTAATGAGAACATTATATTAACATGTAAGCGGAATCTGCAATAATAAATGAGAAAGGTAACAATATAGTTTTGTGGGTGGTTGGCAGGTGCTCTGGTGCGGTTTGCTTCTTCTTTCCTATCAAATATCTATCGTCTTTATCTCCCCTCCTTCTTTTTTGTGTTTGATACTCTCTTGCAACACCTCTAATCTTAGGCACTTATATGACCTTATTGTGTTGCAAGTGCCGTAAAAAACTTACTGAAACTAAAACAATACAGTTTTCATAAATGGTCGTGCGACTCACAGTTTGCTGTATTGCTCTCCCTCGGCACTTGTCATTTTCATAGATGAAGTTGCTTAGCGAGTATTCTTCTCCAAGGGTGGCCTGTGAGTCAATCAGAACTCTGGGAAAAGTGGATGGGGGGGTGGGGGGGAGGAGTCATTTCCATTACTCTCACGGGATTAATCAAAGTTAAAAGGCATACATTCACACATGCTCATACACACACACAGACACATACTTATACAGTAGTCTCCGCCTAAACGCATGCCATACAAAAGCACGCTCCGCCCAAACACACGCTTTCGTCATATGCCTTTTTTTTTTTTTTACTATATAATTTAGACGTACAAACACACAGTCACTCCCTCTAAATACACGCTCCGATTTGCGAAACGCGCCGACAGGCAAAGCTTTTCACTGCAGGCAACACACAGCTTGCATTAAACAAGCCTAGAAAACCGGATATTTGGTGAGACTGCCCCTCAGGCCGAACAAAGAGAGTGATGGACAGCGTTTTCACACTCAACTCTCCACAGACACATAGGTCTAGGACTGGTCGGTGAAATGTTTGGGGGTTGGGGGACTGAAATGTGTTTTGAAAGGTCACTGGAAATGCATCTTTGAGAGAAGGTTTCTGATTGGATGTAATGTTTAGTTAGACCTAGGCCTATGATGCGTAGTACGCATGAAAGCTGTAAAACACTAGATAGGCCTCTACTCTGTATTATACTATGTAGGATTAAATATTACTCAAGTAAGCCTAATCAGCTGCGCTTGAAGAACTTATATTTGTTCAGTGAATCACAAGAGAAATGTTTCTCTGAATGTAGAGATCTATGATTCTGATGTCGTCCATGAATTTACGGTCAGGGGTAGTCGCTTGGAAAGCCATGTGGCTGGACTGTCATCTCTATGACTATCACCAACAGTTTCCTCTTAGGCTATCCGTTCATGACATTCTATGGTGCATATCATTACATTGAGTCCGGGGTGGGGCGACCATCCCCGACCCGGCGGGTCCCAGGTGGCGGATAGGGAACGGCCACTGTAATGGAGGCTAGCTGTGAATATGTTGAATAAGCAGCCCCGGACCAACTGGCGATGCTCTTACCAGGATGGGGTGAGGTGGTAGGTGGCACTACCACGTCATTAAATGCCCTAGGAGTCCTCTGACGGGAGCATCATGCGGAAAAGGACCGCATTAAGTCCTGGCTACGGGTGGGATCCGGTAACAATTCCTCCCTGTGCTCCCAGGGTAGGTCCTTGGACCTGGAGCTGGAGTGCTGAAATCGGAGGTATTGGGCAGCAAGAGTTCTCTAGAGAACCACAATACCACGTAATATTGCAATATATGACACTTGAAGTAGTTAACGTTAGATATGGTGCTCGCCCTGTGAGGACCCACCAGGCAGGTGCAGTGCCGGGCCCCAAGCCTCGAAGGGGTCCACCCCAGCGACTGGAGGGCCTTCCATCGTCTTGGAGTGTCAGGAGACGAGGAAGAAAAGCGACTGGTAACACAAACACAAAACAGGTAAAGAAAAGTCTTAATATCATGCACTGGAATGCTGAAGGAATCTGAAACAAGAAAACAGAGCTCGAAAACTTTCTAAAAGATAATGAAATACACATCTGCTGTATACAGGAAACACACCTGCAGGAGGAGGCAAGCTTTAAAGTAAGAGGATATCAGTGCTTCAGAAACGATCGCCAAGGTACAAAAAAAGGAGGAGTATTGACCCTGATAAGAAATAACCTAAATACCATTGAAATCAAGAAATATACAGGAGAAGCTGAATATATCCACAACAGGATCACCACCAGCAGAGGCAATCTGGATCTAGTGAACTATTATTGTCCAAACGATAAAAACCTTGTGCTAGAAACCATCGAAGTCCCAGACACAGACTTTATCATCGCTGGAGATTTCAACAGCCAGTCCCAGAGTTGGGGTTATAACAGACTAGACAGAAGAGGAGAAGAAATAGAGGCTTGACAAGATGAAAAACATCTTCTGCTTGTAAATGATCCTTTAAATCAACCCACATTTTATTATCGAGCTTGGCATTCAACTACGACTCCAGACCCAGCCCTCTGCACAGAAAACTTGCACAGACATCTAAGCAGAAAAGTGGAAACCCAGCTCAGGGGAAGTGACCATCGCCCTGTTCTTCTTACCATAGTAGAGAGCCTGCCAGAGGACAGCCCGAAAAGGCCGAGATGGAACTACAAAAAGGCAGACTGGAGACAGCATAAGAACTAATGAGCTGACAAAGAACATCGCAGTCTTCGACAAAAACATAAACAATGCATCACAGAGTTCAATGAAAACATCCTTAAGTCAGCAAAAGAAACCATACCTAGAGGGGTAAGGAAAAATTACACCCCATACTGGACGTCAGAACTCCAGAAAACACATAACGACCTCATCAAGGCCAGAGAAGAAGCCGAAACACATCCAGGGATAGAAAACAATAACAAGCTACAGAGGTGTAAAGCCCACTATCTCAAAACCAAATTGGAGTGCACCAGGAAAAGCTGGAGAGACAAAACGCACAAACTTAACCTGGAAAAGGACACCACAAAACTATGGAGGCTTGTAAAGGGGCTAAACGACGAAGGAAATAAAAGTGCCAAGATCACTCTAGAAGTTGAAGGAGAGATGGAAATGGAGAAAAGGGCTGCCCATACCTTTGTAAAAGCATATGCTCAAGAAAGCAACATCAAAATACCAAGAGAGAGACAAAAAGAAGTCAGACAAGAGGAAAGAAGAAAAAGAAGTACAAATAACACCCCGGAAGCAATGGAGAAGGACATCACCATGGAAGAGCCGAAAAAAGCAATAAATCAACTGAAGCAAAGAAAATCACCAGGCCCTGATGAAATTACAAACGAAATGTTACAACACCTAGGCAACACAGCGTTACAGACTCTACTGGATATATTCAACTTAAGCTGGAAAATAGGGCAAGTACCTCAGTGCTGGAAAGAAGCAACGATGATCCCGATCCTCAAGCCAGGGAAAAGTAAGGCACAACCATTAAGCTATAGACCTATCAGCCTCACAGTGTATGTAAGACAATGGAGCGCATCATAGCTTGCAGAATGCAGTGGTACCTAGAGGCACAACACATCATAGTACCAGAACAAGCTGGATTCCGACAGTTCAGGAGCACAGAGGACCAAACAACATACTTGTCCCAAGTAATAGAGGACTCCTTCCAGGCACAGAAAGTGATGCTTGCAACTTTTGTTGATCTACAAAAAGCGTTTGACAAGGTGTGGAAGGAGGGTCTACTAGTCAAGCTCCTTCGAAGTGGTATCCAAGGCAACATGTACCAATGGACCAAATCCTAACTACACAACAGAAGAGCACGTGTGCTGGTGGATGGATATCAAGGACGGAAAATGCTGCTGCGACAAGGAGTACCCCAATGTGGAGTCATGTCACCTTTGCTCTTTATCCTCTTCATCAATGACCTTATGAAAGAACTGCCCAAAGGAATACATGTCGCATTGTATGCAGACGACCTGGTTCTTTGGTGCTCGGAGGAATTCATCACTACTGCCACATATCGCATGCAACTAGCATTGGACAAACTCACTATATGGACAAAAACTTGGTGTGTAACCGTAAACAAAGAAAAGTCTTCTGCTACACTCTACAGTCTCAGCCAGGCTGAGCCAAAACACCTCACATTAGAAAAAAAAAACCTAAAGTTTGAAAATCAACAGAAGTATCTTGGAATAATCTTTGACAAGCGTCTCACATGGAAACAACACGTTCAGAATGCAGAAAATAAAGCCAGGAAGAAACTTAACATCATGAGAAAACTAGCAGGGACTCAGTGGGGAGCAAATGAGAAAACACTTAGACAGGTCTATCTAGGCGCAATCAGGCCCCATCTCGAGTACGGATCCAGTGCATGGATGACTGCAGCACAGACTCACAAATACACTCTGGAAAAAGTGCAAAATCAGGCTCTCCGAATAATCACTGGAGCAATGAGGTCAACACCTTTAGAAAAGATGGAACAATCAACATCTATAGTGACCCTGCAGAGGAGATGGGAATGCAAGGCCCTCATACAGTACACCAAAGCCACAGCTATGGAGGATCGTATACTGCACACAAGAACAGCGAGATCAAACACCGCAAGACTCAAAAGATCCAACTTCATCAAAGAAAGCAGAAAAATCCAAAGATCCCTACAGGACCATCTACCAGCCACTGTGAACATGCTGAATCACACCCCAGAGGCACCATCATGGGAAAAGAAAAACACAAACATATCTATACACACGTCCATTCCTATGTTCACCACAAAAGATGACCACAGCGACCTGAGCAAGAAGTCCCTCACCCTGTCCATGCTTGAAGAAAGATACCCACAAGAAGCATGGATAAGGATCTATACAGACGGATCTGCCACTGATGCTGTGAAAAGAGGAGGAGCCGGAGTGTACGTACAGTTCCCAAATGGACGACAACAAGCAGAGGCAGTCCCAACAGGGCGACATTGTACAAACTACAGGGCAGAGACGGAGGCTCTAGTACATGCAGCAAACATCATCAAGAATGTGGTAGACCCCCAAAGCCAAGTAATATTCCTAACAGATGCCATGTCAGTACTGCAGGCAATCACTTCCGGCAAACTATCAAGGCTACGAAAAGAAATTGAGGACATCCCATGTCTGAGGATCATGCTGTAGTGGATTCCATCACACTGTGGTGTCTTGGGAAATGAGCAGGCAGACAGGATGGCCAAACTAGGAGCACAAAAAGAGCAACCAGACAACAGCGTTAACTACACAGAAATAAAAACTATTATAAATACACTATTTAAAGCACCCCAGACACCAGACAACTGTCCCGCCAAGAACAAGTGATTATCTTCAGACGAAGGACACAACACACAAGACTGAGACAACATATGTACAAATGTTTTAAACTAGTACAATCAACAAAATGCCAGTGTGGAGAGGCAGACCAAACTGTTGAACACATTCTTCAGCACTGCAAGACACACAGGGCCCTGAGACAGGAAACGTGGCCAACCCCACTGACGTTACAAGAGAAACTATACGGGCCGCCAGATGAACTGAGCAGGACGGCCCAATTTATGACAGATACCAGACTTCAACTGTGATGCGATCGAGAAGAAGAAGAAGAAGAATTACATTGAGTGTGTCTTTCTGCCCTCCCCCCCTTCCCCCACCCACTAAACGCCTTTGTATTCTTAACCGCATGTCGGGGAATCCTTCACAAAACAGTCACGTGTCGTCACATTATCGGCCAAAGTGACCCCCACCCCCAAGAGAGATCACTAGAATATCAAGGCAGTGACATGACTGTGTCCCTTTCTCCCTTTGCTCAGGTTCATGTAAACGCACGCTCTATATAAACACACGCTAGGGAGCCCTCCCGAGCACTGTGCATTTAGGCGGAGACTACTGTATACGTAAATGTAATATACACACATACATATAACACACATACACAAACATGCATATGCATACAAACACACATATCCGCTTTCAAGGTAATAGCATTCATCACATGTAGCAGTAGCATTGTTTTGATTTTAACAAGATCCTTGATGGTTGAGAGAAAGTGATATCTTTAAAAGTTAGATCCAGAATGTGAGAAGCTTGTCCTGAACTTCCGCTAACATGACAGTGTGTCACAGAGGAATATTGGCAAACTGTTGTGCTGAATGAGTGTGAATAAACCCGACAAAACAATCTCCCCCTTAAGACATATACAAAAGTAATTCTGACAGACACAAAAGCT